TATGATAACATAGCAAAGTAATAGAAACTTCACCTGATTAACGCAGTTGCGAAAAACATAAATGAGGAATTTTTTGATCTTTATCTTCTTTATAATAGAGAATGTTGTTGATGTGAGTTCAAACCAAAAAAGCACTTGGACATTTAATCAAACTGTTTGTATTCATGTGTAGGAAGGGATATAGGAACCAAAATTATAACAACCGAGAGAAAAGGGCACAAAGATATAAAATTACCATTCTCGGCAAAATTTCACCTTACTAATCTTATGCAAGAAGTATGTAGCCCCGGTTGAATTTGGGTGCGTTTGAATGTGTTCAAAAACATAATCGATTGTTGTTTGAATGCCAAAGCTAAATGTAGATGAAGAGATTGAGAAATAAATAGATGAGAAGAGATCAAAATTAAAACAACCGAGAGAAAATGACATAAAGATATAAAATTACCATTCTTGTCAAAATTTCACTGTACTAAGATTCCACTACGAAGTAATTCTGGTTGAACTTGGGTGCGTGTGAGAATGTTTTTAAGAACATAATCAATTGTTTCTTGATAGCAATTTATGCCAAAACTAAATCAAGAGGAAGAAATTGAGAAATAAAGAGATGAAAAGATAAAGAGTTGGAGAACGTAAATCAATTGCAATAAAAAATAAAAGAAGTGTTTATCAAGAAGTTGAATAGTGTAAGAGGTTAAACTTAAGTTGAACATTTATCAAGAAGTTGAATAATTTGGGAGGTTAAACTTTGTTGGATGGAAAATTACCAATTGAACTCAATTATTATGAAACATACAATTTGCTTGTAGGGGCATAATAGTCTTTAACTTAATTAATATTTAAAAAAAGGAGAAAAAAGATAAATAAGCTCATAGCTTTTATAAGATGTCACATCATACATAGTGGTTTCTTCTTATATATATATATATATATATATATATATATATATATAAAGAGAGAGAGAGATAGAGAGAGATTCTAGGCTAAAATATGATAACTGTAAATACATAATTACAAATAAAATATATTCCTATGCTAGCTCGATCAATAATGTCTTTGACTTATTTTTGTTGGTGTAGCAAAGGAGTGGATTGGTTCCTCTTGACGGCAATACCCAAAAAATAACTCAAATGACCTAAATCTTTCATGGAAAATTCTGAGGGGCGAGTGTTGAATGATAGTATGACGAAGAGAAGTGGATGAAGTTGTCAGAATAATAATTTCAACGTAGAGGAGAATGTAAGCCATGTCTTGTCCTTTATGATAAATGAATAGGGAGTTGTTGGATTTGCTGTGTGGAAATCCGAGTATAGAGACAAGATCGTCAAATCTTGGTACCAAGCCCGAGGGGCCTATTTTAAGTCATAGAGAGATTTCTTTAAGAGGCAGACGTGATCAAGTTGTTCTTTGCTTATTTTAAGTCATAGAGAGATTTCTCTAAGAGGCAGACGTGATCCAGATGTTCTTTGCTTCCGAAGCCAAGTGGTTAGTACATGTAAAATGTTTCTTGAAGTTCACCATGTAAAAATGCATTTGTTACATCAAATTGGTGAATTAGGCATGATCAATGAGAAAGAGCAACCCTGAAAACCATCTGAATGGTGGCCGGTTTGAAAGCTGGATTGAACGATTCTTCACAATCTACGCCAACCTGTTGAGACCTGCCATCACGAACAACACAACTTTGTATCGCTCTAAAGAAACATCATATTTCTTTTTATGTCTAAAAATCCACATTGACGTATAATAATTGTGGTTATTCTTTATAAGTGCACTAAATTCATCTTGCATGGCAGCATACTTGTTTGGGTCGAAAAGGGTGAGTCTTGGTTTTCGTGGTAGAGGGAAGGAGTGGGAGATGTTTGTAAGTTAAAATGACATTTTGGAATGAAAATTCCATGCATGCTTCGAGTGGATATTGTTCCAGTAGAAGTAGGTGGGGAGTATTAAAAGAGGGAGTGGTTTGGTAAAGGCCCAACTGGAGAAGGGAGTGGTAGTGAGGATGATTGCGCCGTAGAGAAAGTTGATTTTGAGGGAGATGGTGGCGAGGCTGGGTGAGCCATAGAAGAAGAGTAAGATGGAAAAGAAGTTGAGTGGGACGAGTGGTAATGAAAGGTCTAGGAAATAGGATGAATGCCATCATCAAGAAAAGTATAAGAAATTGGGGATGGGTTATATATGGGGATAAGGGAAAAACAGATTCATCAAACATAACGTGTCTAGATATAATTACTTTATGGTTGGATAGGTCGTGTAACACCCATGTTTTTTTATATAAATATCTCATATTTTAGAATGTGGATTATATCATGGGTTTCAATGTTTAATCTTGATAAATAACGGTTTGGATGTGAATATCTGAGCTGGATCATTTCGGCACCAATCAGGATTGAGTCACGCGAAATTCAAGGTGTTTCAATGACTCGAGCATTCTACCAGGCGGTTTAGACAGCCTGATGAATGACCTCAACCACTAGAATGTGAACTCGAAGTTGATCAGGTCGTGAAAGGGAGGCAGCAACCGAGGCTTCCACAGGGCACCTTAGGCTGCACGGGAAAGTCGCTCGGATCTGGATCTGCAGTAACACATCATGCTCTTTGTGTGTGTGAGGGAATGCGAGGTTCCTTATATGTGCTAGTACAAAAGGATCGGGTGACTTAGGGGCTAGGCTCCATAAGCCGCCCCATAAGTGGCCCAGGCTTTTGTTTGGTCGTCCGAATCCTCAAAGAACCCCATTTTCTCCTTTTTGAACCCATTTTCTTTCCACTTTCTTTCTGGTCGATTTTTTTGGCACTCAAAGTGTTCTTGGGAAGTTCTGAAGGTTTTTCTTAGAATCAAAAATGGATTCAAACCTAGGAGTTGGATTCTTTATTGTTGGTGCTTTTGGAACTCTTGGGAGTTAAAGGTAAGTTTAAGTTACCATCTTTTAACCTAGGGTTTTGATCCTTTTTCATTTTCAACCTCTAATTTCTTCTTTATATTATGTTTGGGTGCTTTAGGAGCAAAGGAAGTATTTTGGGAGCTTCACACCTTTGAGAGCTTGGCTCAATGGTTTCATCTCTTTACCAAAGCAAGCTCAAGATTTGGGGTAAAATCTAGATTTAGCCTAAATCTAGCAATTTGAGTTCAATTTACTTTGTCAAAACTTTGAATGTGTCAAAAATGTCCATTTTGAAGTATTAATGTGTTTTACCTAATAGTTATCAAATGTGTGGGTTATTTGGTGAGTTTTACATAGTTGGTGTATTTGATTTTATAGATCTCGTGAGGTACCTGTATTTGAGTTTTATTTTTTGGACATTTTGATAAATAAATCATAAGTGGGTTTTTTCATGATTTATCTAATAAATGGAAATTATTTTGTGATAATGCATTTTTAGTGTATTTAGTTTGAAAAATGCATTTTATAATGTTATGGGACATTTTGGAAATATAAATGGTATGATTCAATTGAAAAATGGTTTGTCCCAATTAATAATGCATTTTTTAAGTTAATCATGTCTTTAGAGCATGTGTTTGCATAAACGTTGGTTAAATACGTTTTTATTGCTTAAGATGACTTTTTTTAATAGTCAATTGAGTTGTTGAGCTTGTGGCTCGGTTTTGACTCAAATGAGTCTTGGGGACATTTGTCCGATTTAATTTACTCTATGGTTGAGCTTTTTGAGTTATATACAATTATAACATATTTATTTGGAAATTTATATGCTTTGAGTGCATTGGTCATGCAATTGGGGTCATGTAGTTTAGACTGTAGGCAATGAATCCATAGGCATAAGAGTTGGTCAGTTGGTTATAAATGGGATCTTTATCCTTCCTTGTAGCTAGAAATATTTAAGATCAGTAGAGGACTCGAGGTATAAACCATAGGTGGTTGAACTTAATGACTGTGAGATCCATACGAAGGACCCAAGGTATAGGGCGTGGGTGATTGAACTTGATGACCGCGTAAGCCATATCGGAGGACTAGAGATATCGACCATAAGTTGATGTTCTTGATGACCATCAGGTTATAGTGATTATTATTTCTAGTGAACAAGTATGACTAGGATCGGCAGATGACTCATACTATAGACCATGAGTAGTTGAACCTGATGACTGTGAGATCCATAGTAGAACTCTCTAATATAATGTGGCTTACTTTGTGTTCGCCACATTTGATGGATACACCCCCCTTCACCGAAAGGTGTTATTTTCGGATGAGTGTATTATCCATGTTTTCGATGTTGTTTTGAGTATGAGACATTTTCCTTGATTTATGGTTTTGAGTTTGAACCTCATCCATGGTTAGGGGTATTGTTGGATAATAAAGTTTTTATCAATGTTTACAATATTTGGACATTGAACCTTATTTACGTTCTCGAGTGAGTGTTGGGTTTTGAATTCATATTTAATGGGGTATTTTGATTTAGAGGTCTCATCATGAAAATAGTGAATTTTGGAAAAATGTTGATAAATACATAGAGAAATTATGTTTAGATAAGCAAACTTTCAGTTGTACTATTTTATAATTATGATGAAAACTGCTTGAGGGTTCGATAATCTTGATTTCAGAATCATGTTGCATTATGCGGGTACACTTCTAGTATATATATATATATATATTATTTATATAAAAAGAGAATATAGTTTCTATTTATTGAAAAATGATATGGTTTTTATTTTTTTGAAGAATAACCATAATTTACTTATAAGTAAGTTTCTATTTATTAACGGTGTTCCATTAGTTATTCTCCCTGATATTACGACGTGTTACCATTAGCGCTTGTAATCAGCTCTTGCGTAATGTTACTCGTTTGCCATTTCACGTACCATTCGCTATTTCAACCAGGTTCCATTAACCCATCAGTAGTAGTGCTACTCGATTGCTAAGAGAAAACCGACTTAAAAAAAATACATATATAGGTTATCGAAAAAAATGACAAAACAAGTCAGTTGTAGATATTTAGGAGTTGAAAAAACGATACAAGAACCAAAGGAAACCAAACATTTATTATGAGATTGTTGAATCCCTTACAAAGACAAGCACTAATGAAAAGCATAGATAGACTTAAGAGGTTAAGCCATGTCACATGACCCATCCTCTATCGAAAAAAGATTACTTCTGTTTCACTCAATTTTGGAGATAATGGGAACACATAGCTTTTGCAACTGATTCAACATCTTCTCATACTCATCTACCTCTGAAAGCTTGTCCATATCAAGAGACTCAGTTGCATCTGTGATGGCATCTTCCATTTTCTTCATGTCTTCGTTATGGAGCCTTGTCTTGTTGGTGTCTCCTATGGTCGTGATTTTGCTTGACACCTCGTAAATGTACTTTTCCAAGGCATTGCGTGCAATCACCCTTTTCTTGTAGAGTTGGTCATCAAGTTTGTACTCTTCAGCATCCTTTAGCATCTTTTTTATCTCTTCCTTTGAAAGCCTCCCCTTGTCATTAGTAACTATCATGCTCTTTTTCAGGCCAGTGGATACTTCTTCACCCAAGCAATTCAAAATACCATCATCATCGATGTTAAAGACCACCTTTACTTCGGATTCACCCTTTGGTGCAGGTGGGACTGAAACCTCAAATACCCCTAGCCGGTTATTGTCTTTTGCCCGGCTTCTCTCACCCTGGTATACCGGAAAGTTTATGGAACGTTGGTTGTCCTTAGATGTATGAAATGTGCTTCCCTTGTTTGCTGGTATGGTAGTGTTTCTTGGGATCAGAACAGACATAGTGCCATCGAACAACTCCACACCAAGGGAAAGAGGAGTGACATCCAAAAACACCAAGTTCTTCAACTTTTGGCTTATTTCACCACTTATCTTTGCAGCAATAACTGTTGCACCATATGCAACTGCCTCATCAGCATGAATCTTCTTTGAGAGCTCCTTTCCGTTAAAGAATTCTTGCAACAATTGTTGTATCTTTGGTATCCTTGTTGACCCACCGACAAGTACCACCTCATCCACGTCTTTCTTATCCATTTTTGCATCCTTCAAACAACTCTCCACCGTCTTTATGCACTTGTTAAAGAAATCTGCATTAAGATGTTCAAACTTTGCACGACTAATTTTGGTATTAAAATCAACATTTTTGTGCAAGCTATCAATTTCGATTATTGTTTCAATACTTGATGAGAGTTGTCGTTTCGCTCTTTCACAAGATACCCTCAACCTCCCGGTTGCTTTTAGATTCCCTTGTATGTCTATCTTCTTCTTTCTCTTAAATTCCTTGATCAAATGGTCCACCATTTTGTTATCAAAGTCTTGGCCACCCAAGTGAGTGTCACCGGCCACAGCCTTCACTTCTAACTTGCCATTTTCATCAATGTTGACAAGAGAGACATCAAATGTACCACCACCTAAATCAAAAACAAGCACATTTGTTTCACGAGATATGTCAATTCTCATTTCTAGTCCATACGCGATTGCAGCTGCGGTAGGCTCATTAACTATGCGCAAAACATTAAGTCCTGCAACATGACCGGCGTCTTTTGTGGCCTGGCGTTGTGAATCATCAAAATATGCAGGCACTGTGATGACGGCATCATTCACAGTTTTACCAAGGAATGCCTCAGCAATATCTTTCATTTTCCCAAGAACCATGGATGAAATTTCTTCAGCTGAAAACTGCTTCTCTTCACCCTTGTATGCAACTACAATCTTGGGAATGTCACTAGTTCCCTTTATGACTTTGAAAGGCCACAACTTCATGTCCTCTTGAACCGTGCCATCACTAAATCTCTTTCCAATCAGTCGTTTAGCATCTGAGATCCCACGATGAACATATGAGTTCAAGTATATAATAATCAATCTAATGTGCTTAAGACAATGGTTGAGGTGCGAAACACATACCAAAGATGGTGTGCATATGGTTCGTGAGGACCTGGTTCTTGGCACCTTCACCTACTAGACGTTCCATATCTGTGAAGGCAACCCATGATGGCGTAGTCCTACTACCTAGATCATTGGATATGATCTCAACTTGATTATGTTGCCAAACACCCACACACGAATACGATGTTCCGAGGTCAATTCCGATAGTTGGTCCAACCATTATCCTCGATCTCAAGTTCCAATATTTCAAACCTATCATAATAGCATCCACAAACATAAGGATCACATCATTTTATGAAATATGATGCCATAAATAAAAACAAACAAAAAAATAATTGTAATAGAAAAAAGTTGGTAATAGAAGTTTATTAACTATTTAACATTAACCTTAATCTAATGATGGTGACTTTAAGTTCCATAGAAAGTAGGGTTGTCAAAAATAAGTGGAACCGAATAATTTATCTAAACCGAATGTGATTTGCGTTAGACGGTTTCAGGTTATTCAATTTTCGGGTTAAACGCGTTCGGTTAACTAAATAAAGATCTTTATTCGGTTCAGTTTTCGGTAAATGTTTTCAAATTCAATTAAACCGTATTAATTGAATAACATATTAGAGTAAACTATGTGTATTAATCACTTAAAAAATCCCACGGGCCATGGCCCTAAAGGCCCTTATAATATCCAACGAAAAATATGAATTTATATTCGGTTTAACTAAATTAGTGAAGTGAATAATTCGAAACCGATCAAAGCAAACCTTATTTAGTTTGATTATCGATTAGTTTTAAATTTTTTGAAAACCAATTAAAGCAAACCAAATAAATCAGAAACCCATTTAACCATTGAAATAACACCCTTAAAAGAGACAGATATTTTACCATTTCAATTAAATGAGAAGCATAAATAAACAAAATAAATTAGTTGTAATGATACTTTTTAATGAAAAATTAAGATATTAATAAGAATAGAAATTTTATTTGAGTATAAATACTCACTGGATTACGTCTTCTTGATCACCTACTTTTCTTAAGCCGTATTTCCTGCATAAAAATTATATAAATTTCAATTAAAAATGTGAATAAGAGATTACTATTTTACATAAAAATAACATCAATCGGTTTATCATTATATATATAAATATATATATATATATATATATATATATATATATATATATATATATATAGGGTTGGGTTCATGTGAGACTAAGGGTTTTTCGTGAGACCCGTAAACCAATTTATATTCATTGACCAACTTTATAAGCTAATGATCTAATGGTCTAAAGTTGCACGGTGACAATTTTGTAATTATTGAGAAGTCTCGTGACGTTTATGAATGTTCAGATCTGACGATTATAGATCTAATCCAAGGGTTGAAAATTGATCTTACGGGTCTCACGAAAAACCATTGGTCTCACATGATCCCAAGTCATATATATATATATATATATATATATATATATATAAAGAGAGAGAGAAAGAGAGAGTTTCATTTTAGAAACGATAAATGTATAAGTAGATAGTGATCTTAATCCTTCACCTAAAAAAATGTTCAAAATTTGCGACTTTGACTGCGAAGTATCGGATAATTCGGTCGCATGGTAACTGCTGTGCGGAAGAAAGAGGGATAGTTTCGTAAATTTTACAAATAAGCGGCAAAAAAAATGTATATATGACTCATGTGATTCACATATATGAACTATTTGTGTGAATCCGTGTGGTTCACATATGCACAATTTAACTGATTCACATATAAACTAATTTAACGGATTCACATATGAACTATTTAACATATTTACATATAAACCCGTGTGATTCACATATAAACTAATTTAACTGATTCACATGTGAACTATTTAACTGATTCACATATGATCGAGAAAAAGTTAAGAAATTTGATGACTTTGATAATCTAGAATTGCGATATATGATCGACAAAAAATCGAGAGAAAAATTGATGATAAAGTTGTCATAAAACCGGATTTGTTTTGTTAGAATCGTTAATGAAATCAAGATCATACATCACGGGGGAGACTTTTGTTGTTTATCATCGACGATGATGATGTATTCATATATTGCCACCGGTTTTTGCTACTAAACATATTACCCTTTCTTTATACAAACTTGATTTTTTGATCCAAAGGCTAGAATCACTTTTCTATTTTTCACACAGTTAGTATTTCTTAACTAAACCTCTCCCTATATATATCGCCACCGCTTTTTGCTACTTAACATATTATCCTGTTTTCATGAGATACGATTTTTACACTTGAAACTTCACAACAAAATGTTGTGAAGGTAAAAAAAAAGCCGAACATTCACAGCAAAAATACTGTAAAGCTTATCTTCACAGTGTTCTGTTGTGAAGTTTCAAGTGTAAAAATCGTGTCTCATGTGTCTCACGGAAACAGTCTTGTCTCACATGATCCCAAGTCTCTCTCTCTCTCTCTCTCTCTCTCTCTCTATATATATATATATATGCATATACACACACACACATATATATATATATATATATAATATAGGACGATAATCAAATGAGAACCACAAATATATTACAAACCCGTGAGAACCGAAATAAAAATATTCTTTTACATGATTTTTTCATCAAAATCTATGATTTAATATAGTGTTTCGAATATGTTTATGTTCACATTATGAAAAGATTACATCGTGGAACAAAATTGGTTCACCTAGTGAAATGAAAAAATGCACGTAAAAAAATTCACATGGTGCAACAAATACATGTGAAACTATCATATCATGAAATAAATATATGTGAAGCAATGTTTTAAATCCTAACATTTGATGAAAAATATCATATAAAAAATATTTTTATATATTTATGGTTTTCATGATTACACTTTTTTTTAAAAATTCATTTAAATGACAAAAAAACAAACAAACAAAAGTTGGTAGATAATTCAAATCAAGGACAAATTACCCGGGTATCCTCTGGGCCATCGGTTGGTATTTTCTCATAAAATACCAATTCTAACGAACCATTGGTATTTTCTGGGTGACCCATAAGTAATCAACAACAAAAATTTCTCCAGATGATTTTTGTGGGTAAAAGTCATTTGTTTTGTAGTGTGGTCTTATAAACCTAAATTTCATAAAATAGTTTATTAAGACACTTAGAGATTTACGACGTCCTACAAACCTGATCTTGTTATAGTGTGAAGACACAAAGATGCAGCAAAATCAAAGATTAAAACATAAATAAACAGTATTAAACCTTAAAAGTTATCGAATAAACAGATGAAATTTCTAAAAGAAATATATAAGAAAAGAACGGTTGATATAAAATTCACCTGTATAGGATTAGGAACGAATGAGGAAATGTAGGAATTGGTATATGAATTCGTCCGTCCATCCATCTTTATATACAAATCAATTACTTGGTTAATTCTTTGTTTAAAGGACTTTTGGATTAATCAATTCAATTCAATTCAAGATGCTTTTTTCATGATAAATAATACATCTAGTCTTTTGAAAATAATACTTTTTGTTTTTTGGTTTTTATGAAAATGTTCGGATCTGATCTATCCTCTTAATCATTGTCTAAATTCGAACGTTTTTATAAATCATAATGTCCATCTTATTGTTAATAATTATTATTTTATTATTAACAATTACTATTAGTTATGATTACCAATTACTATTAATCTAAACTATTAATTTTTATCCATATCGGAACCACTACTAAAAATCTGGTTTTTCCGACGGCAAAATCCGTCGGAAAAACAACTTTCCGACGGATTTTGTCGTCGGAAAACTCCCGCCGCCAAATGCAATTTCCGACGGAATTTCTGACAGATTTGTATTTTTCCGACGAAAAAATCCGTCGGAAATCCGTTGAGCAATTTTATAATATGTTATCCATTACCCGGGTTAATTAAAAGTAATATAAAATGAGATTAGAGTTACCGACAGAAATTCTGTCGGAAATCCGTCGGTGAACTTTTTCCATTTTCTTCCAAAATAATAACCAATTTTTGTTTCAAAAATAAAAATTACATTTTTTCGACGGATTTTCGATGGAATTTCCGTCGGAAATTATATTTAAAAACATTTTTCCCTAATTTAAAATATGAAAATGCTTTTTATTTTTATTGGACGGAAAATATTTACCACGTAAAATCCGTCGCTGATCCGTCGCTGAAAGTGTCCGTCGCAAATCCGTCGCTNCGTCGGTGATACCCATTTTTTTAGTAGTGAACTTCACCGTAACAAAATTGAGTTTACAGAACTTCTAAAGTGTTCAAGTGTCCTAATAGACTACTTTAAAGTACTTACGTTTATAGGATCAAATCATTATGTGTCTTATTGAAAAGTGTTATAATAAGTTTATAAAACGCTTTTAAATGTGTTGACAAGTTTTTAAGACATTGTTGAAATAAAGTGTTTTATTAACCCCTTTATAATAAAAACAGTCGAAAATGCTACTTTCATGCTGGTTGGGTCGCATGAAACCCGCATTTATCACTGTTCACCAATTTTTTCAGTTTTTGTTTTAAAATCTAGTTTGCGACTTTAGCTTGGGTCCTTATTYGAGGGGTTTGCAAGTAAGTCTTTTGGAGGTCCTTCGGGGGTTTTATCTAATCATTTGATAACCTCAATTCAAGTGTGCGGTTGGTGTTATTCTAGACTGAAAATGTGATTCTAGGCTGTGATTTCAGAGTTTCCTCTCGTTATTTTCTAACAGAAGTATACTTATCCGCTATGTTGGAGTTGTATTTGATCTAAATTCACATAGTGTGCATCATTTATAATGTGAAATGATTAATTACATAGTCTGAGTTATTGGTATGAGTGTGTACCTTGATATTTCGAATTACGAAAGTGTGTACCAGAATGAAGCACATGAATTCGTTTCATGTAGCTCATTTAAAGGGCAAGTGTTAACCCAGTTGAGTAGTCACAAGTGTGTATGACAATTAGTGTGTTTAACCGTTGCAACGTGTATTGGTGTTTTAAAATTTATGTGTATACATTGTTATTTCTTAATCGTGATTTCTAACGAATTATTTCAGCGTGTACTCATACGTTAGAAGGAATTCACTAGAACTTTGGTCTAACCCTCGCTTTTATAAAGTTGAAAAACCTTTTAAGGAAGGTGCCAAGAGAGGGCGCTGTTAACGGGAAGGGGTAGGTGTGATTCTGATGGATTAAAATATGGGAGTGATCTCCTTGATTGGTGGTTGTTTGACTTGATTAGATGTTTGTAAAGAACCTCAGCCACAG